TGGTCAAGTTTGTCTCCTTTTCCAATCATGTGTTGATCTTTGCGAGTCGTTGCAATGGGCTTTTCCTCATTTGCAAGGGAAGATCTTTGTCAGCGTCCTTGATCCCTCACTTCCTTGTTGTGGGGGGTTGCTGAAGTCTGTTGGTGTATTTTAAGTTGAGAGGACTCAAATGTCACTCTGTTGATCATTTCTTCTGAAATTACAAAGCATAGTCAATGGCTCTTTTTGTTAGACTCGTCCCAGAACCCTTCCTGGAATTGAGCTGCTTTCATCTGTGAATTAAAGCTTCATTATTTCTGTTAGTGACAACAACATGTATTTTCAATAATCTGCTCATCTGGCCTATTGTCCTTCCTGGTGTTTCCTGTAGAAAAGATAATGTGGGCCGAGTGCTGTCCTTTCTGCTTTCATTAACAGCAGGACTTTAATCCATATATTCCCCTTGTTTTTCATATAGTTCAGCTTTTTGTTATCATAATTGCAATTTCTTTACATTTTTCTCATAATAAATTTCCTATGTACTTTTACAATTAGTCAATTCCAACTAAGTTATCTCATTGTCTTGAGTTCCACTATCAGCCCACTATTTATTAGGCATCTTGGATAACACTCATCCCACTTTGTTACAAGACAAAAGTTACCAGACAACATTTCATACTTTTGACAAAGATCAGCTTCTCTTGATATGCTGCAAAGAAAGTCATATATGTTATGCGCTGCGCAATTGTGGCACTGTTTTTCTATTTTTATTTTTCTCTTTTCATTCTTTTTTTCCTATTGCCACTATAGTTCCAACCAGGAAATTTAACCAAATCCATCCATGGTCATTATTTTATTGGGCAGAATTTGCCCTGTGGGCCCACATATTAAATTTAGATACAGCTGTATTGGCAAAATAATTGATTTGCCTCAGTGTTTCTTCAAACACCATCTCTCACTCCACTCACACTCAGTCACTCTCACACACACTGGCCAGCAAGCATACATTCTTGCAAGTTGTGCTCTAAATGTGGCATCTTATAATTTTAGCCACAAGGTCTGATCAGGTCAACACAACTATGTCAAACACTATTGAGAAGTGTCAGTGATCATAATGTTTAGTCTAACACCATTGTTATAAACCCTTTTTTCTTTCCCCTTCTTTTTACTAATTCTAATAGATTGAATATTTTAGAATAATAGGCCTGCCACTTGTAATTTCTCAAATGCATTTTGTCATTTGTTTGTCTAATTTTTATAGTCTTTTTGTTTTTGCTCATGAGCTGCTTAAAGAATAAACTTGGAGATCTCGGCATATTCTTGGATCCATGGCCAACACCATTTCCATCTCATTATCCCAGTTTAGACAGCATTTGCGTTTTCATAATTTTGGACTCTTGGAGTAATTTTTTTCTCCAATCTATCTCTAGGAAATTACCAAAACAAAATGGAGTGACCAGTATCATTGTTTTGCCAACAATAATAATTATTCTTTGACATTGCAATCTTTTTTCTTTGCCAGAGAATAATTCTATCATGCTTTTAGCCCTATAGTTGTTTCATATAATAGCCCTCACTATACCAAATCCAGCCTCAATTTTAACTATTTAGTGAGTTGAGCACCCACTTGTCTCTTTCAGTGTATTTTCTTTTTCTTATAGAGCTGGACTTGTACCTACTGATAAAGCAGAGAGGGTTAGTTTAGCAGAGAATATAAAGAATTGCTATTAGACCAGTGAATAATCAAGAAGAATAAAGTTAATATAATAATTAACTACATTTGCAGCAGTCTCTATAGAGTGATCACTGGAGTTGCCGCACCTGTGTTGCCCGTAAGGGAAGGATGTCAGTCAGTTCTTCTGTTCTCAGATCATCCGTCTTTTGAAGCTTTTCGGCTGTCGATCTGCATGTGTCGTCAGCCTGTCACTCAAAGGCCTGGTGTCGGAGACTGGAATATAGGCTCTGTTGTTTCTCTGCCTTTTCTCAGTTTGGGCATTGAAAGATTCTGCCACAGATTTGCATCTTACGATTGTCTTTTTGTTCTCAGGAAAAGTCTCAAGTGAAAGTTTCACCTTTTCCAGCATTAATCAGTCTTTCTCCATGCTGAGTTTCCAGAAAGTGGTCATCTATAGGAGGGAGCTGAATGCCCCTCACCCACTCCTTCTTCTTTCTGCAGTCGTGTCTTCTCTCTTTCGTGTCTCTGACCTTTCACCTCTTCCATTCGACACTGTCATTGAAGCCATCTGAAATTTGAACACTCAGAGAACTGCATGAATCAAATTAACTTTATAAATATTTGTTCCTGAGCAATTAGCTCTTTATCTAAATTCCATTTTTAACCATCTTTTTCCAGTTCTGTTATACTATATTATAATCACTGGTTGACAACAGCAGTTCTCCCATTCTGTTTTTAGTAAAGCAAGTTCTTCGTTGCAGAAAAGAGCAAGCTATTCATTGCTAGTTCAATAATCTACCTTTTGATTATCTAAGTATAATACATTCAAATAGGTTTCCCTATCATAAAATCAGACTTCAATCTTTCTCTTAAATTTGCATGCTGTGCTCAAGATAATCTCACATGGTGAATAAACTTTTCCTCAGCCATTCCCAACAATTCCCATTTACTACAATTCTAAGATTGCTGTAAATTATTTTTGACTGCTGAAACTTGGTCACCCAATCCTGTTCACTTTTAGCACACTGCACCAGTTATTTTTTCTTAGCACAAACTTAATTCTCTATAATGGAATCATTTTTCTCATTTTGTCTTCAGGGATAATGAGATACAAATTTTAGACGTCTTTGGATATAAAATATAATATATTAAGCACGTGCAATCTTATTTATATTTATCTATTTAATATCTTTTATTATATTTATTAATTAAATATATATTTTATAACTTTAACTTATTGCATACTACAATAATCTTCTAGGTTAATATCTTGAAACAATTGTTTTCCTTTACTATTTCTTTACTTTTAATACTCATTTATACATTACTTGTCTCTCAAGCTCATACACACATTCCTTGTCACCTATTTTTAACCACAGTCACAGTCAAGCAGACACAGGATCCCCAGACACACACACAAAAGCTATATTCTACTTACAGTGTTACTCACTGTTTTTACAAACAATACTTCACTGAATAACTTTAAACTATCACAGACCTCTGCGATTCAATTTAACTTACCCGAGCAGCCATTGTCATACCTATAACAATGCGGTAACCATAAGCTAAACTTATCTGTGTGCATGCTATCTTATTATCCTTAATAAGAAACACAGATAAATAACTGATAACCTCACCAGTACACTTGTTATCCTTAACAAGTAAACATAAAAACTGATTATCCTTAATCACCAATGATATCCTTATCATTGCACTTGTTATCCTTAACAAGTAAACATAAAAAACTGATTACCCTTAATCATTACACTTGTTACCCTTAACAAGTAAACATAAAAACTGATTACCCTTAATCACCAATGATATCCTTATCATTGCACTTGTTATCCTTAACAAGTAAACATAAAAATTGATTACCCTTAATCAGTACACTTGTTACCCTTAACAAGTAAACAAAACAAATGATTATCCTTAATCATTACTCTTGTTATCCTTAACAAGTAAACATAAATAACCGATATCCTTATCAGTTCCTGATATCCTTATCAGTAAATTCAAATCCCTACGTACGTACGACAAAACCTTAGCGGCACATCAGCAGTACCAGTAGTTCAAACAATCCACACAGGATTATCTAAGCACTGGCAAAGACTATTGGGAGCTCCCCCGCGCTACAACACATTTACTCGATATCGTCAACAACAATACATGCACTTATTTCTAGAATCAAAGATACCCTTTTTCAATTTTTTAGTTCTTTAAATTTGGAGAAGCATTTTAAAGGTCTTACCACTCTGGCTCACTGGTGACAACACATACTTTTTCAAAAGCAAAAATTGCTCACCTCAAATTACAGTGGCCACTGTTGTCTGTGAGTCACCAGTGTCGCCTTTCGTGGCTCCCACAGCTCCTAAGCCAGTCCTGCCGGGGTCGCCATTTGAAGTGGTTTCAATTGTTCTGTAAAATAACTTCGCAGAGATCTTTGATGCCAGAAATATTAGACTTTATTAACAAACAAAGCCGAGCATCTCCTGCAGGGGATCACTCCCTCCAGCAGGAGATCCCTTCCTCCTGCAGGCGATCACTCCTGAACAGTGCCCAGCTTCTCACATATATACATACATCCTTTTCCAAAGATGGTCATACACTTATAGATAGTTTTGGGTGAAGGTCTTGTACCATGTGACTTCTCAGAATAGAATTGACATTCAGGGTCTTTTTACAGAAGGTCTTGCAGCTTTCAAAGTCACCTAGACAGAGAAATAATTGTGTATTCTTATATGGCTAAATTACTTGTTTTCTGAATAATAAAATCTTCAACATAGGCTACTAGTATCTAAAAAATAAGTACTTATAGTGGCATTAAAATTTAGACTAGTAGGTTTAAATTATTAAATGTTAAAACGGTTTGCCATAGTATGGCTTAGTGATATTAAAATATGATAGCCCCTTTGTGTTTACAGTAACCATCTGTCTGTTTTGTTTTGCAATCCCCTACTGATCATTTCAAACTTAGCCTATATTTAAATGTTTCACAGTACAATAATAACTGAGTTGTGTTCCTTTTCATAATGCTTTACATGGACAAAATTATAAAATAACACATCACATGTCCCCATAACAGTTTCACCAACATCTACACGGGATGGCCTGGAAGTGTCCATGACGCCAGGGTTCTTAGGAATTCCTGTATCTTTGCATTGGCAGAGAGAGGGGAGCTTTTTCCACCAGTAAGTTGTTCTATCACAATCACGTACACACACAAATCCTATTTGGAAACAGTACCATTTTAGTATAAAGGAGATTAAAATGTTTAGAGAAACATATTATAACATGTAATAAATTAAACTTCTCTTATTTTCCATTGCCTAAGGACACAGTGGAGATCAACGGTGTCCAAGTACCGATCATGCTACTTGGTGACCCGGCGTACCCCATGCGGAGCTGGCTTATTAAAGGGTACGCTGACACAGGAAACCTCACAGAGCAGCAACGGTACTTTAACGAGCGACACAGCAAAGCCAGGGTGACTGTGGAATGTGCATTCGGCCGATTGAAGGGGCGGTGGAGATGCCTTGGGAAACGGCTGGATGTGGACATCTCCACTGTCCCTACCATCATAAGTGCATGCTGCACTCTCCACAATGTGTGTGAGAAGCATGGTGAGGCCTATGAGGGACCTGCTCAAACTATTCTTCAGGACATCAGGATAGCAGAAGGAGAGGCACAAGATGCCGCTGAGCCAACAAGAGTCAGAGAGGCACTAACAGAGTTTTTTTACAGCCAACGCTGATTCACAAAAGAAACTTTAATTGACAATGTTTAAACATAACATTCTGAAAGTGTGGAGTAACAATTTTTTTTTTCAATACTAATGATGAAATGGTCAGTTTTGTTCTGAAAAAATAAATAAAAATGAAATGCATCCCTGTAAAATTAGTTGTGCAGGTGTATGTAAACAAATAATCCCTATAAAAATCGTCAAAAATATTTTCCACTCAAGAATTTTTCTCAGCTAAAAAATAAGAAAACCTGCTAACTACAATGTTGTACTTTGAATAATTACTCTGAAAATGTTCATGTTCAAAATAAAATGATTATGCTATAGTGCAAGTTTCTGTCGGTTTAATAACACTACATAACGTTCTAACTGTAACCTGAAATCAAACTGTCAAATATATTCTGAACTGTAATTAACCTGTATAATGATACAAACTTTATTTCTAAAGCACATTTAAATCAAATTTTTTGATGGATAGACTTTGCATAGATTGACCAACAATACTGAAAGCAATTCACTATATTGTGATTTGATTTACTTTTCCTGGTCATCTGGAGGTCGGTAGAATGGTGGATGCCCTGAGGCCTGGTTGAAGGGCTGCTGAGCTGGACCTTGAGGGTGTGCTGACACCTGGCTGAAGGAGTGAGGTATATCTGGAGGATGTGCAGGGGGATGGTTGAAAGGTTGAGCCAGATCTTGCAGAAAAGATAGAGGCTGGTTGGTTGTCTCGTTACATGGTGGAGGCTGAGGTGAACCCATGCTAAATTTCGGGGGCTGAGTAAAGTTGTAAAAGGTAGGCTGAGGCGGCAGTTGTCTTGGGTTGTACTGTGAGGGCTGGACTGGTGCCTGGTAGAAAGGTGGACATGGGGAATTTGATCTGGCAAGAAACTGTGTGAACATTGAGAGCATTTTGAGCTCATGCTCATGCTGTGCTGCTTGCATTTTCAATTGAAGCTCAGTGTCGTCTGTGTTGTTGAGGGCACTGCTGATCTTTTCAGTGAAGATTTCCAGTGTTGCTTCCATCTTGGTCTTCCTTTTCCTGCTCTTGGCAGATGTAGCTGTAAGAAAGAGGAGAAAGTGTTTGGCCATTGTATCACAATTAAAAAAATAATCAGTTAGGCTTGGAGGGTAGACATGAGTATAAGTAAAAACTTAGCAGTAATACAGTACAGTACAGTAATAACAGAATACAAAAATAGTAATGGATGGGTTAGCTATGTGAATACTCTACTAATGATTTAGCAACAACCTGATAAAAACATGATGAATCTTACTTCCAGAGGACTTGCTGGCTGTTGTGCTTCTTCCAGTGGTCTCTGTAATGCCTGCAGCTGATGAGCTTTCTCCAGATGTAGATGGTGCAGAAGACACAGAAGATGCAGATGGGAGTGACTCTGTGCTTGTATCATCTGGTGAAAGCAAACATATCATGCTATAATGTGATGTATTCAATACAAATATTATGAGCTGGTTCACGTTACCAATTTACATAACACCCTCAACACACACGTTACCCTGAGAAGATGATGATAACATAGCTAGCCCCCCTCCTTATATGTTAGGTTATAATATGGGATTTGGTTCTGCAGAGCCAGGTTACCAGTGCACTTCATCAGATCGTAGACTGAGTAACATTTCTGAATGACGAGCCCGATCTTATGAAAGTGCGTATCTATTTCAGGAATTAAATGTATCGTTTTTTGCGTTTATATCCTACGCAGTTTTCGCGTGCATACGCACTTAATTGCGTGTATGCACGCACTCCACACCCCTAATCCTAACCTAGGGATTTACAGTGTGTAGCATATGCACGAAAAAAACAACAACAACATTTTTTGCGTTTAAATGGTAGCCTATGAGAAATTAAATTTGTGATATAGATACGCACTTTCATGAGTATTTTGGAGCGACAGTAAAGGGTACTCTGCTTCTCTGGTGGGTTTTCTGAGTTGTGCAAAGTAACTGTGCGCAGCTGACTGGCTTGTTTATTCTGTGAACATAATTTTCCTATAACAAACACCTCAACTTTCTAGTCTTTTTCTACAGTATATGCCTAGGCTATGTATGTCAAGACTGAAAACGTACCTGTTTCGACATCTATATCCAGGCTGTCTGCTGAACTCCTCGGAGTTTCAGGCTCCTCTTCACCTGCTTCGTAGCTATCCAGCAGCTCCAACGGCTGACAGCTGGGTTTATCGCCCATAACACGGCTAATCTCGTTGTAAAATGGGCAGGTGATGCGACCACGACCGCTTCGGTTGTTAGAATCATTTGCTTCTTTAAATTTACTCTTAAGACTCTTAACCTTCCTTTGGCACTGCAGCCACGTTCTCCTGTGTCCCCGTTCCTCCATTTCGTGTGCTATCTTTTCAAAAACAGAGCGGTTACGGTAGGACCCTTCTAATTTCGCTTGAATAGAGGTATCTCCCCATATATTAATTAGGTCTAATACCTCACTGTCCCTCCACTGACTCGCTCCATCACTGTTATCCATATCTAGGCAATTTTTTAATACTGTCTGTGTCTGTTGTGTCTGTTGCTAACACGCCGACGCATGTGACAAATGTCGATGTTGATTGACGTAAAAGTCGCATCAAATCCGCCTTGGTTGATCACACTGCGGACGCATTAAAAAAAATCAGATATGGATCTGATTCAGGACCACATATGTATGTGGTCTAAATCTGATTTTAAAAAATCGGATCTGGGCAAGATTTGAGTGTTCACACTATCTCTGAAGGAGTCTGACCTGGTCACTTGACCCCAAAAAAATCGGATTTGGGCCACTTTAGCCTGCAGTGTGAACGGGGCCTAATAGTTTTTAAGATAATTACACATTTGTAAAAGTATGCCATTTTGGGCGGTACCGCCCAATCCGTCCCCAGAGGGTTAAGCTGCAATGACACTATTTTCTTCTAGAGCTGCTGTACAGCCAAGACTAACTTTGTTGCATTATTTTCCAAATCTCTGTAAAGCTGCTTTGAAGCAATCTGTATTGTATTCAAATAATTTTGTCAGATAAATACCTTCACTAAGTTTAGTGTTTTGTTCTTCCCTCATAATTTCAAAATATTTAAAATATATAAATATAAAAATATTTTCCTCATAATTTGATGGTTTAAGCAAACTTGTAGGGTAATAATAAAATTAAAAAACTCCACCACTGTTTTGGCCACCGCTGTATATTTGGTGTGGTCAGTGTCACAATAGTGTTATTCTAGAGCCTGCTAACTGTGGACTGAAGGGCCCGAGTCATCACAGGTGCACTGCTGCATTTTTCCAGTCGCCAAAAATATAATTATTACTTTTATTTCATTGCTGTAAAATTTCTTAAAGGTAAGTTACAAAAAGAATACCTTGTTGATTAAACTTTTTTATCGTTTGATCAACTCATTTAACTGCAATACATCATATTTTTGCCATCGTGTTACTCTTAACTAGGTTAGGAGACCTCTCCAGCTCTCTTAAATAATTTAGGAGCTGAGACCAAGTCTTAACACTTAGGAACCTTTATGAATCACGCTTATTCTTAAGTTTAGGAATAAGAGTAAAATTATGTATTTCTTAGAATTTTGACAGACTTGAGACTAAAATTTTACTCTGAGTGGCTTTAAACATACGGGCCCTGATTTACTCGTTGCATCTTAAGAAGAATGGCATCCAGGGTGCGATTTGCCGGGGGGGATGCGTGGGATTTCCCCCTTTCTGGTCAAAGTATCCCTGCCTCTGCTTAATTATTTTTATCCCCGGTGGGGATAAATTTATCCCCCCCTCAAAGTGATCAGTGCTACAACAATAGTGGCGAGACGGATCACAAAACTTATCACGGGTCCGTGGTTTGATTAAAGTCAATTTTATTTTAAAAATGCGCTCCTTCGGCTGGCTCTGGTATAGCGGCCGCAGCCTCTCTGTAATCACCACTCTGCAGACATGCTCAATGTCCCGCCCACGGCGCTATCTGATTGGTTACTCCTCACGAGTAATAGCCTATCAACACTTGCGAGACTGGGCAGTGGAGCTGTGTGTCGGAGGCGTTTAGCGTGGCGCGGTAGACGCGAACTGACACAGATGATGCATCTGTCTTTTCTATCATTTCACTGTAGCTCAGCATCGCGATGTAACGTTAACGTTGTTACTTTAACAGCAGTACAACTGTTTTTACTGTGATGGTTTAACTTTGCAATCAATCCATGGTTCAGCAGACTGATAGAAGTAGCCTAGCCTAAACTAAGTAAAGCGCTGTAATGTGAACTGTCAGTGCGATCTACAATAAAATCCGAAATGGACCACCCACTGGAAAGCTGCGGATTTTCCCACAGGAAAGCAGAAAAGACTGTTTTCCTAGTATGATGAGGCCTACACAATAGCCTGTTTATGTTTAAGTTGACACTACGTTGTGCCATTTAATTGTGCCATTCATAAATAAGTCTTTTGACATGTCAAGCCGAGTGGCACTATCCATGGTACTGGGAGGGGGATTTAATTCTTAGGCTACGTGTTTTTCGTTGTGCGTGATCACAGTTCATATATAAGCTATTAGAGTAAAACATATTCCGTTAGGCTACTTCATGAGTTAATAAGAAAAAAGATTTTACAATTCCTGCAAATGCAGTGATGAAGTTTATGTTCTCATGATTTATTTTTATGAATAAAACTTTTTCAAAACATCCCCCCCTCTGTTTTTTTCACAAATCGCACCCTGATGGCATCTATGCTAATGTCAGTCTTTCCATTTATTACGAGGTTTACTGAAGTCAGCCGGATCCGGGCCGTATCCAGATCAGATGGTGGACCTGCGCCTGGACACGACCACAACGCATCCCTGAAGTGCCAGCCTCATCAGCCCTGTGAAGGCCTCATGGACACCTCTACAAACTCGTCTCCATACCGGCGTGATGACTCCGACCTCCAACCAGAGGAACTGGATAATATTGTGAACGTTCTGATCCTATTTGACTTCTGACCTGTAATGTTGCCTGAATCATAATCATACACTGTCGGCTCGTTGGCCAGAGGAGAACTGAGCGACTGAGTCTGGGTTCTCCCAAGGGTTTTTTCTCCATTCTGTCCCTGATGGAGTTTTGGTTCCTGGCCACTGTTGCCTTGGCTTTTGGCTTGCTTAGTTGGGGACATTTAATTATTCAACAATATTTTTGATCTGCCTTACTTCAAGTGGACGATAAAGCAAATTGGGTAACACTTTAGAATACGGTTCCTTCGTTAATGAATAACTACACAAGAACCAATGAGTAACACAATATTAACAATCTAGTAACTACTATTAACTAACAATAAACTCTGATTAACAAACTAGTAAGTAATAGCGCACAGATGAAAGTGGTACTTCACTATTAACTAATCAATAACTACTATTTTTTTAATGCTTCCCAGAGAACTACTGAAAAAGTTTCATAATTCATGCAAAACTAATCAATAAACAATGCAGGACAAATGACTAGCACTACATTAACATTTTAACTGCTACTGTAAATGATTATTATGGTAACTAACTAGTAATGACTCAAGTGTTTCTACATACTTCTAAAGGAATGACTAATTATTTGGATCCGTATTCTAAAGTGAAGATCATGGTAACTAACTAGTAATGACTCAAGTGTTACAACATACTTCTATGGGAATTACTATTTAAAACTTCACCAAAAAACCTCAAAAGCTTCAAATGATTCATCATGACTGAAAAAAATTGCTGATTTTAACAAAACGCATGAAACAAGTATGTAGTAACACTTGATTAATTACTAGTTAGTTACCATGATCTTCACTTTAGAATACGGATCCAAATAATTAGTAATTCCCATAGAAGTATGTAGTAACACTTGAGTCATTACTAGTTAGTTAAAAAATAGTAGCTATTGATTAGTTAATAGTGAAGTACCACTTTCATCTGTGCGCTATTACTTACTAATTCGTTAATCAGAGTTTCTTTTTAGTTAATAGTAGTTACTAGATATTTAATAAACTTTTTCAGTAGTTCTCTGGGAAGGGTTAAAAAATAGTAGTTATTGATTAGTTAATATTGAACTACCACTTTCATCTGTGCGCTATTACTTACTAGTTTGTTTATCAGAGTTTATTGTTAGTTAATAGTAGTTACTAGATTGTTAATATTGTGTTACTCATTGGTTCTTGTGTAGTTATTCATTAACGAAGGAACCGTATTCTAAAGTGTTACCGCAATTTTATTCTAGAAACAAACTTCTTGTATTTATTTTCATGTTATCACTGTGAAGCTGCTTTGTTACAATCTGTATTGATGACTTGACTTGACTTCCGAACGGCCTCTTTTCACTACCGAAGCGCATGACACTCGAAACCTGCGCAAGGGGTTTGCGCTATTTTTGAATCAGAATATGAAGCAGTCACGTGTTTGTGTGTCGAAACGAAGCTTCGGACGTCACTGATCACATGGTTATGGCAAGATGAATCAAGCTCCGGTACAGTGATTCATGTGAGATGTTTCGTTTTTTTTTATACAAGCTTCGAAGCCTCGGTGCCGAACGTCACATCACTACCTGAGTGCTTTAAATAAACCTTTGTTTACTTCACCAGTTTGTATCGTTCTGATCTGTGACAGTTTTTTGTTCATTTTTCTTTACAGGTCAACAGTACAGACTTTTCTTTTCAGTCGTAGTTGGCACATGACTGACCCTCAAAGTTCAAATATAATTGAAATAATGGCAGGTTTTTGTTTTTTACGTTGACACAATGTAACGTTTAATGCTAAACAGTTAGATTTTTAACATTGATTTTTTTTTTTACAAAATCTGTATGTTGAATACAGTCAATGTCATGTCTTCAAGAAATACATAACCTTTGAATTATTCTTATTTCTAATTATTATTTTAGCATTGTATGATATTTTGATCAAAACACCACTTCAAAAATCAATTTATGTGAAAATATAATCATATTATATTTCAATCTCAAGAGAGAAGTGCAGCAGAAACTTTTTTGCTTTGTGTGATTTTGTTTGGACTTACAATTTTGTGTGTGTGCCTAAAGCTTACCATGAAGGATTGCTTTTTTATTCACACACTGTCATCAACTCTATTTGACCAACTAATCAAATAATATAGTCTACATATAAAACTAAACACGCATTTCTTTAAAAAAAAAGAAAGAAAGAAAGAAAAGAAGAAAATTCATCTTTTCCATTACCACGCTGAAACAAAGGTTGTTTTCACCTTTGATCATGATTGGTTAATCTGACTGTCATCTACGTAACTGGCCAATGACAACTGCGTGTGCCTTTTTACTGGTCATGTTTGAAAATCCGTCAGTTTGAGTTGATGACAACGTGTGTGTGCTACGGCTCGGCAAGATTACCCAGTCTTTCCTTAAGCCTTTTAAATTCTTATTTTGAACTAATTTGTGTTGTGACATGTAAACGGAGGAGAACAGAAGCTGAAATGTGAACACAGAGGAAGGTCGGTCTGGATGTGTGAGGTCCTGCAAACATATTTGCGATATCAGGAAAGAGAAACATTTTGCTCTTTTTTT